TAACCTCTTTCAAATCCCTCCCGCTGATGGCGATTGACGAGAGAAAGAGGTCATCATGAGCTGACGTTAGTTAGAGAACCATTGGAAAACCTTGGAGTACTGGACAGCCGTTTCTTCCTAGTTGGGACTCTTCAGCAGTATGCACCCACCGGGACTCAAACCCAGGACCTTCTCGATACACGGCGAGCTCGTATACCATTAGCCACTGGGACTAATATTAACAATTATAAATATAACAACTCATGACTTTTGTTACTACCCTCTTTCATGAAGATAATCGTATATAAATGCAACTGTACAGTTACAGAAAATCAATTCGCCGGAAAGGGCCTCTTCTCTGAAGCCTTTGTCCTTTTGTTTTCAGAAAACCCGCAAACCAAAAACAACTTTCTGTTGATACTTGTTCAGATGTGTACGCCTTGAATCTGTCTTTTCTAAAACTCTACTCGTCTCTCTTAGTGGATCAGACGGCATTATGTCAAAGGCTCGAGGCCTACTCCCTTATGACGACCACCTACCCACTTCGGTCTGGGCGTCCGGGCAATATCCTATCCTTCACACAAACTATGAGATTTTGTGTGGCACATCTGTACCAAGCTTGTGTTTATAATAATAATAGTAATAATAATAAACAAGCTAATATGGATGTGCCCGATGCCTGTAGCCACATAAATGGTTGTTTCCCGAGTTTTGAAATTTCTTCAAGCTATCAATCACACAGCCTAAGTCCCAATGATGTACCGAGCATATTACACAAATCTTTAATGCGTCATTCCACTGGAATATCTTAGCTGTTGCTTGAAAAGAAATAAACACTCTACCTGTATCAATATCATCCTCTTTTGAATCAGGTTTAAAGCGTAGGACAGTAATCGCCATCACGTTTCCCTTTTTTAAAACTTCTCTTACTTGTTTCTAAATTCCCCATTAAAATCTTTCAGTGATCCCAAGCAATTTGCTTATAAATGCAGTGCAAGCACTTTAGATGCTGCCGTGGTACTGTATCATAACATTGTCCTTCAGTATAGATAAAAATGCAAAGTTCATTCAATCTGCCTTTTGTAGATTACACTGCTGCTTTTGATTCTGTTTCCAGGTCGAAGTATCTAGATACTTAAATTGAGTCACTACTCTTACCTGTAGTCAGAATTCAAATCCATAAGGTAGTAAAGATAAGCAGGCCGTGTATTTTCATTGTTGTAGGTAACCTAAACACATTTCGGATTATGGAGCCTATGTGCACCTTTGGTTTGAGACCAGGGTTCTCCAACTTCATTTAGTGTCAGCCTTGTGATTACCAATTCACTGTGACAGTCGCCAAACCTCATTTTTTTTAAAACTACCTCCTCCCCCCACCTTCCGTTGAGGGAAGTCAGTAGAACTTATCTGGCAGAGGACTTCTAATGTCTTTAGCTATCTGGGAGTATTTCAAGGGAGATAAAAGTTTACCTACACACTATCATATCAAGTTATTTACAGGATGCGGTGTTGTCCATTAGCAGTATGGTGAGAGCTGGGTGCAAGCCAAAATTGTAGACAACAATTTACATCAATGTTTACGTCCCGAATCACGGTCATGAGAAAAACAATAACAAAGCTTAACCTTGAGAGATTCAGCAGCCAATCACAGCGGAGTTAACGAGTGGGAATGTGATTCGAAGATAGATGGCTTGATTTTCTGAGAAACGGCCACAAAGAGATAACAAAATAACCTTCAGCAAGAAAGCAACCAATCAGAAGAGGTTGATTCTCCGCTAACAATAATGTACATCAAAATCTATAAATGTCTGTTGATTTTCTCAATAAACGATCTGTTTGGCTGGCTCTTGTTGTTACATTTGGTGTCGCTGCCTACCGACAAATGGAAAGCCTATACCCTGCAGTTTTTGATGGAGACATATGAATCTTCGGGCAGGACTTCAAGGCTTCTGCCCAGTTAAGTGGCGTTCAAGATCTGTCAGCGATGAGGCTGTTACTTGGGACGCTGCTGGGAGGTCGGGAGAAAGCAGCCTATGAAAGTGTAAGGCGAAATACTGACGAATGTGCAACAGGGTCAGGCAAACAGTTTCCAAAGTGGGAAGGACCACATATGGTCACGTTGAGATAGGGTTACGCAGACACAATCTCGATGGTAAACAAAGAGAAACAGGTGAACATCAGCGAGTGCCGAGATTTCAGACAACATGACAAACGAGCAAAGCCCCTAGAACGAAGAAGACCGATCCAACTTCTGTCGCAAGGTTTTGACGGGGGGACGAGTGTGGTGAGAGCTGGCTGCTAGCCGAAATTGGTGGACAGTAATTTATGTCAATGTTTATGTCCCAAATATTGGTCGTGAGAAAAATGAGAACAAAGAATTTGCGTAGATGGATGCAGTTAACGTATAGACGATCTGACATTCAAGAAACAGCCACAAAGAGATGCAAGGTTAACTTTCTGCGAGAAACAACCAATCAGAAGACAGTGTTATGTACACGAAAATCTATAAATATGTGTTGATTTCCTTAATAAAGGATCTGTTGCCTGGCCCTTGTCTTCTGTTGTTACAGTACTATCTCTAACCGGTTAGTAGAAATCATCATTTATCCGCGTAAATGAATTGGATCAAAATACTTTTTCCATCAAACTGTTTTAAAGGTTTTCTTTTAGTCGGTGGTCATACCTTTCCGTAATGCAACCGAAATATACCTGATTTTTCTTCTATCTCTAATAGCCTGCTATTATGAAAAAAGAAGTATATATGCAGACTGCATCTGAACCACTCACATGATGAGTAAATTAATAGACACACAGAAAGACAAAGAGAGAGAGAGATTTTGTAAACATTATACATTAAAGTGTATCACTTTGAAACGTTTTTTTTGTATATGCAAGGTTCTTTTATGTTGTTGTTGTTGCTGATGATGATGATCAATTGCCATTGACTTCTTTAAACACAGTCTTACTGTTTACTTCGAGTGTGTGTATACACATTTTAAGTGTTACTGATTTTCAAAGCTTTTACACCTAATCAAACTAGTAGAGTTAAGTGTTAAACCGATGGTTCATAACACTATGTGCGAACCACCATATAAACGATCCCAGTTAATGATATACGACGGCTCTATAATTGACATAGCTGGTAGACCCCGGGAAACATTTAAATCTTTGGGCTCCGTGGGAGAGGTATAGTTGCATAGCTGAAACTTAAAATAATTGACAAAAGGGCACGCCATTAGGAGTGGAGCCTGCGGTCTAATTCAACTCAACATGGCAGGAGAACTCACTCAATCCAGACAACTATTAGGATTAACAGATTGAGAGATCTTTCTTGATTCGGTTGATGGTAATGCATGGCTGTTTGTTATTAGTTGGTGGAGTGATTTGTTTTTGGTTAAATCTGACAACGAACAAGACTTTAACCTACTAAATAGTTGATAAGTCTTCTGTACTCGTTCAGGGTAGTATTGCTTCTATTTCTTCTTTTTCAATGGAGTAGTATAGTTGTGATCTGTCAGGATGACCTGCCAGTTTTTAACTGCTTATAAAGGGACAAGTACTTTATCAGATATGATTCAACTTTACAAATAAGTTGAATGATAAACTCATTATGTGGTATTTCAAGTATTACTCCTCCTGGTACACGTAACTGAAAGAAGATACTCGTGTTAATTGATATGAAATGAGAACAAGTGATTCAGTTAAGAGACTCTTCAACGAATATATTATCAAGCTGTGTTTTTTACATACATATATGTGATTTTTACGAAATAATGGTGTGAATAGGGATAAAATAAGTTGTATAATTTGCAAAATATTTCATGGAATGCTTAAATCTGTGAAAAGGGGGAGGGGGTTAGAATTAATAAGATTAATAGGGAACTAGAAAATTACATACACACATAGCACACTAAAAAGTTTGGTAAAATAACATTTCAAAAAGTTATATTGAATTAAATTTGAATTCAAGGGTGACAAATGAGATAATATCACAAATTGTTCAAAATAAAGATAATAATTCTATGAGTGGATATACAGGTTGAATAATCGAAATGAAAAATGAAGAAGGTCGAGTCAGTAACAGGGACTTGTGCAATTTAACATAGACGGATTATAAAATCATGGAAAAACGAGTGGTTGAACTAATTCTTTTGTGTATAAACAGCCCTGGGTGTTTTTCTTTTATTTCGATGGTCAAAGCTTCAGCAGTACATATAAGCTGGACACATAATGGCTTTGACGGGTTATTCTCTGCCCTATAGAGGTAACTTTAAAGGAAGAGACCGTTGGGGTAAGGTGACCAGTATCAACCATATTATTATTTGAAAAATATTGTGGTTGATTATAGCTGTGTTGATGTTTCAGGGGGAGAATGGCCGCCAGTCTTGGCATGTGGTCCCGGCCGACGGAATGCTAAACCTCGCCTAACCGGTAGTAAATCCGACAAAAAGGATGTAAGTTTAGCCGTCCCGTCCCGCCCTGTGAAAACAACACCAATGCTACTGAAACTTCAAAGCTTAACTAACGCTTGCAACCGTATGTTCCTTGTGAGAAGAAATGAGAAAAACACAGTGTGATTATAAATTCTTAAAAAAGCGCCTCTTCACCGAGCCAATTGTTTTCATTTCCTGAATATCCTAATTGATAATTCTCTATGGATTACTTTCAACCTGCTGTACCCTACTGGTCGCGGCTTCGCACTAGAACCCCCAGGTAACTGCCTGAATAGCGCTAGTCCCTCTAGTGAGCATCAGATGAATTTTCAAGTATTGGTTTTTTTGATATGTATTTTGTTTGATTGGTTGGAGGAGGATTTCATCACATAAGCTGATTGACATCAGTTAGGGAACCACTGGATAACCATGACGAGTAGGGTACATCAGGTTGAAGGTGAGGCAGTAACTCATCTCTCGATCAATTAATTGATATTTGTATTTAATCTTAATGTTTTTTTTAAGATTTTTCTTTTGTTTTGTTTATCTGTCTATTGTTCTTGTTTTTATTTATTTATTTATTTATAGGTCGTTTAGATAGTCATCGAAATACAAATTCATCAACAGATAATTCAGATAGTAATCCACTTGGACATGCACTGTCTCCAGCTGATTTGATATATCGGCTAGGATTACATCAACTGTTATCATTGTCACCGGTTCCTTTAACTTCACGTGATTCACCAGTGTTTTCAGCTAATCATAGTCCTACACCAAGTTTAATACCATCGAATTCAAACAGTGGAAGTAATCAGAATACTGTGATGAATAGTGCTAGTAGTACTAATAGCACTACTGCTACCACTATGACTATTGCTCAGCCTTCTTTAGTCAGTCAGTCTTCGTGTACGGATATACCGTCTGTTCAATGTGAATGTATGTTCTTCCTTTTTGTTATGTAATGATTATTTTTTGTTGTTGTTCATTATAGAGCTATATATTTGTGTTTGTTTGTTTTTTTCATATCGATTGGAAAACATTTCAGGTGTTAGGGTAATTAGCAAAGCTGAGATTAACAATGTGAAGCTCATATTGTATGAACTTTACAGCTCTGTTATTCATAGTATAATAATGACAATGGTTGTAATAATAATAATGGTAATAACAACAGTAATATAATAACAACTTTATTCTACACGATGTATGTTATCACAGAGTACAAATTCTTAGCCAAAATATATTTACTCTTTGTGTAGGATCTTGAAGTAGAGTAGTATACTTGATAGTATATCGCAGACAGGCTTTAGACTAGAACGATCGTATCTTCACCCTTCGACCGATTCTGGAACATAGGCATATTTAACTGCGTCCAAAAATCGTTATATTTCTTGACCTAAAGGTGGAATTCGATTCTGTCGACTGAGAGGTACTTTGGCGATGTTTGGCTGTAAAAGTAATGCCGAAAAAAACCCATTGCACTGATCAAGGCACTCACACTACTCGAATTCATGCAGCCAGGTGAGAGCTTATGGCGAGTTGTCATCTGAATGGGTGACAACCAGTGATGGCCGTCAAGGATGCCCACTATCCCCATTTCTATTCAGTTTCATCATAGACTTAACCCTAAGTGACTTCAGCTACTCAGGGTTTGATTTGTTATCGTCAGGGAACAATCTTGTTGACTTAGAATATGCAGATGATGTAATCCTTCTAGGCGAGGACGCTGACAAAGTGGAGCAGAACCTTCTGAACACCTTCAGCTGCAATCTTCGAATATTTGAAATGCGATTTGCTCCCGCCAAATGTAACATGATGTTACAGGACTGGACTGCAGTGGACTCCTGGCTTAGAAACAGAGAGTGAAGTGTTTGTTGAAGCTTTTTGACCACTTCACTTATTTTGGGAAGTCACATCAGCCATTGCCAGTCAGCAGGTTGGTCGCTGACGAGATCTCAGCATGGATACAGAAGACTCATTTGGCATATTTCAGTTTACGCCGTCTCTGACGTAGACGTGATATCCGGCTGGCTGTCGACCAAAGGACGGGTGAGCAATATCGAGGTTTAGCTTCGGTCTAGTGTTGGGTAAGGCGGGGCAATCAGTAGACGAGGCTATGAAGCTACATCGATTGAGATGGTTAGACCATGTGTTACATATGCTAAGCCATCACCTTCCTCGATGGGCAATGTTAGCTGATATAGGGTCAGGCTGGAAAAGAGGTAGTAGTGGTCAGACTGAAACATGGGCATATCAGTTAATGAAATCCATAACAGTTAGTTTAAGTCACGTCGGAGGGTGTAGACTCCCTAGTTGGGGTCCTTGGGACAGTAAAAACCAATGAAGGCTGGAGACAATGAGTGATATGGCTCAAAATTGTTCTCAATGAATAGCGCAGATGCATATACTCCTTGTAACTTTTAATACCCAATAAAACTATACTGATCTTCGATATTAATATTATTTCTGTCTCACATCTCGGTTTACTGTCTCTATTTTGCGTTTCTTTTTACTTTCTTCCCTTGCTTTATGTGCTAAATGAAGTGTGGTGACTCGACCTGCTGCATATATGTGCAAGTCCAATGTTGACTTGGATGTTTTACCAATCCGGTTGTAAGCACCAGATGTTCACAATCGCCCTTTCACCTTTTTGTGGGGAACTTCTACCACATGAAGTCAGTGAACAGGACATACATGACAGAGACTGTGAATGCTTGGAATCTACCCACTTTGATCGTACCAGGTCGTTTATAGGGGCAAAAAGAAATAAATAATTAGTTCATAACTCTGAGGAACAAATAAAGTAGTGGCATTTTCTCTCTAGCTTTGCTATGCCCACATGTGCACTCATTTTTCACTATCTGACTGAATACTATGTTAGTATGTAATCCCATATCACATAGCGAAACAGTATTATCTATTGGATAACTTTAGAGAAGTCACTGGAAAACACGGAGCACTTGACAGCTTCTTCGTCCTATTTAAGGACCTCCTAGCACTGAGCGCCCCACGATCCCACTAGGGATCGAGCCTAGGATCTTCAGGTTGCGAAAACAAGCTTGTTGAACATTCAGACACTTAGGCCGGAATGCAGTGACCCGTGAATTCTAACTTTCATGTCTGACCACAGATTGATATCAGTTGGGGAAAGGGGAGGATTACTAGACAACCATAGTTTGAGAATTATCACCAATGCCCACCCACCGGGGTTCTGATGCCCTCTAGTGACTGGCTACAGGAAAAAGTTTCCTGGAGTTCTTGTGAGAAGTTGTGACCAATGAAGTCCACCCAGTTGGGGTGAGGATAAATACTTGCTGATAACATTAGCTGGCTCCACTAACGCCTAAATCACGAATTCATAGAAGGTAGCATTCATGGACTGGCCATTGAGTCGGATCTCAAAAGCTGAATGCTCTACAAGCTTGACTTGTGACCTTAAGGTCCTTTTGGTTTGAACCCCGGTGGTGGGTGTATACTAACAATGAGTCTGAAGGTGGGACGAAACACCTCTCCAGTACACCTTGGTGATTTCCAGTGTTTTTTTTTTAACTGGTGTATCAGCCACTTCATGATCAAACCTGAAAGAAAAAAAATCAATTCCCCACAAATTACCTTTGTCAAATAAAGTTACCTATTTATCGATTTCATTCTACTTTTTGTATTTATATCCCAATATAATAATTTATACTGTACTTAAATTTTTTTATTTATCTATTTGTAGCTGAATCTCAGAACTCACCAAATGTGCTTCCAAAATATGCCAAACGATCAAAGTATTCTTAAGTGGATAGAAAAAACAAAGAAATATCTGGACACATACATACATATATACATAACCCCTACCCCTACCCCACCCCAACCTCCGACTTCTACACACACTACACATAAGACAGACAATTCACAGAAATTTTCTCAAGATGACTAATATTTGTTTTATTATTATTATTATTATATTTTTTCATCACAGAGAACAAATTCACTTCACTGTAAGACATGGAAGAAGACACCCATTGTCTTTTTTATGGAAATAATAAGAATAATTATTATTATTATGCGCCGTATTACATCATAAAATGGGATCAGCTTTTGTTTTTGATACACTGCGCTTATATATGTTACTATTTTGCCTTATTCATATCTATTTCCCCTCACCCTTCTGTCTCTCTGTCTCTCTCTCACACTCATTCTTAGTTGTTACACCTGTTCAAAAGAATGTTGTAATCACATCATCATCACCATGAAAATCATCGTTATCATTATTATCCAGAATAAAGGAACCTACTCAACAAAAAAATCTCAGTATATTATATTATAATCTGAGCATTTTCCCCTGTGTCCTCACGCACGCACGCACACACACTCACATACATACATACATTCACGTGCCGTCGACTATTTTACCTTTTTGTTACTTCCATTATTATTTTGTCTTACGATTAGTTAACCTTGGATTCCTTTTTTAATTTAGAAAAAACAACCACCTTTCCCTCCACCCATCGCTTCCCGAGTAATACTCATATAATATTTCTATGAATTCTGTACAAAACGATAAGGTTTTCATTTTTTGTTTTGTTGTTGTTGTTGTTGTGTAAACCGATGCATGCGTGCTGCTCATCCATCATCAATAATAAAGTGATAGGTGGTTGATAGGTTGCTAGGTAGGTAGGTAGAGGTAGGAAGGTAGGTGGTTAACACCTTTAACCTGGTGAAAATTTTTTCAAGTTTTATTTAATGCTAGATAAATTTCACTATTTTACTATCTACTTTTCTATCTGTCTGTCTGTGTCTTTGTACGTGTGTGTGTGCCTTTGCTTTTCTCGCTTATCTCTCCTCCACTATCCATCCCATTTACAACCAACGAGTTTAACACTTTTACTCTTTATTGATTTATTGTCTCATCAACATGATGAATAACAGTTAATTCTTGTTATTTGTAAGCTAATTGAATTAACACTCTAGTTGATTGATCATGTTGTGTAGACAGGATTAAAGTTTGTTTTATTCTAAAAGCAGTGATGATAAATATACTGTTCAGTCTCTCTCATGTTCTCTTCCCGTGAGTGGGTGGGTGCGTGCGTGGGGGGTGTCTTCCTTGCTCCCCTTTCTTTTCATCTATCCTTTCTTCATATTTGTCATCTTATTCCTACTTTTATGGAACAAGTACTCACGCCTACACACACACACGCAAACGCAAACACACGTTTATCTGCCTTTACTTAATTTACCACACACACAGATACTCAGATCCCCTGTGCTGTTTGTTACTGTTCTTCTTTGGGTTGTTGTTTTTTTGCCTTTTGTTTTTTCTTTTGATACTTGATAAGATGTATTTTTTGTCATGATTTTAGACATTGATAATAAATAATATATTTTCTACTCTTTTATCTATCATTTATTTACAATATAGATTATTATCACTATTATCAATAATACTATTACTAATATCACGATTTTATTTTTCGAGCAGATGTTGTTTTACTTCTTTAATTATTTTTTTGCTTTCTTTCTTTCTTTTTTTGGTTTATTGTTTTTATTTCAAACAAATCAATCGATTATCAGATTTTATACAATACACGTCATCATGAAGTAATCTTCTCTCTCTCTCTCTGGGGTTTCATTTCTTTTCTTTTCTTAACACCTTTGTCAACTGACTGACCAACTGGTGTTCTCTCCTCCTGCTCTTTTTTCTTTCCTTCTTCTCCTTTTCTGTTTGCGTCTCTCTCGTCTCGTCTTGTTTGTTTTGATTTTTGGATGTAACTTGATGATAATGTGTCGTTGTATGGTGTACAAGAGAGATGAAAAGAAAAAACCAAACACATGGACCAAATTGAATTGGTGTCTTTTTTTGCCTTCTTTTCTTGTAGGATGACGATGATAATGACGACGTTAGCAATGATAATTGGGATTTCTGTGAATAATAATAATAATGATGATGACGTTCTTGATAGTTTATCTTCAGTGTATTGGATGCGTTAAGTTGTAGTAGTAGTAGTGGTAGTAGTGTAACGACAGAAGATAAGAGCCAGCCAAACAGATCGTTTATTGAGAAAATCAACAGATATTTTTTTTGATTTTTATGTGCATTATTATTATTATTATTAGCGTAATTGTTAACGGAGAATCAACCTCTTCTTCTGATTGGTTATTTTCTTGCTGAATGTTTAGTCTGTTATCTGTTTGTGAGCATTTCTTAGAAAGTTAAGCAATATATATATCTGCCAGTCAGTCGTATTTAGACACGTTAAGTCTGCTGTGATTGGTTGTTGAGTTCCTCAAGGGTAAGCTTTGTTATTGTGCTTTTTTTTTCTCATCACCCTGATTCGGGAAGTAAACATTGACGTAAATTGTTGTCTACAATTTCGGCTTGCAGACAGCTCTCACCACAGTATTATTATTATTATTTTTCCTTTGGGTTCCAAGTGGAACACAAAAGGCTTCAGGAGGAAATCTTCATTCCAGCCTGTTCTCTTCAGTCCTTTCTAGATGGCTCCACGATCTTGCAGAAGTTTTCATTTCCTGACCCATGCTCAACTTATTGTTTCGTATTCGGGTTCTACTCGAGGGCTTGGCTGGTGTGTGTGTGTGATATCACTTAACTGTATCCTTGGTGTTTTGTTTCATCTGTATCCATTTCTCTGTGCATATTTGTTGAGTGTGATAGGTTCTTGGTTGGTGCGTTGCACTGAAGAATACACTTATATTTTAATTGGACACTAGTAACTAGTTTGATGTATCTAGTGCTTACTTTGGTACAGATTGAATTCTGTCAGTCAGGTTTGTAATGTAGCCATCATTCTACGTAGCTCGCCATCACGGTGCACATTGATTTCCTGATATTAGATGATTGGAAGCAATCGGCCATAGGAAGCCTTGGACCTAGGTTTCGTGCTAGTTGGTACTCGTTGGCGAGGTGTGTCTGCAGCCTTGAAGTACTGCAGTCAGAAACATTATCACTGGGTGACACAGGTTCAAGTCTCTGAAAAGAGATGAGGTCCTTCAAGGTTGCAGATACACCTTGCTGACTGGTGAGTGCCAACTAGCACGAAACCTAGGTCAAGAAAGGCTTCCTATGGCCGATTACCTCCAACTATCTAATATCAACGAATCCACTTTTGTTTATCCTACTGGTCAGCGATATGATCTTCAATGTTAGTCTGGTACCTGCTGGAAATGCTTTCGGTGATACATGCGCCAGGTCTCTGAACTATACAGAAACATTTACTGACTTGAAATTCTGAATATTGTTCTCGATAATAATAATTAATACAATTTTATTTCAAATAGTATGTGAACATATATATATATATATATATATAGAGACCATCAGGTTTACGATGATACTTGTATTTTCCAGACAAGGAAAATCAATGTCACACAAGTGTGTTAGTGAAATGGTACGAATGTACGAAACGTGGGAACAAGAATTATAAAGCAAGAGTATATATGAAAGTGTCTAATACACATGAACCAATAAATAGCCAGTCTTAACGTGATTGGTTGTAATGTCATGTGATAACAAGGTTATACATGTTTATTTAGTTAGTGGAGAGACAAAAGCATAATGTCAGTTATAATGAAATATTGATCCATATACACAGCAAAAAATAACAGACTGTCGAATGCAAAACACACACATCATGTGGATACATATCATAATCTGAAGTGTATATTCTGTGACTTAGCCTTTCTGTATACATGAGAAGAGAAGCAATTAATTCTGTAAGACTTTTCTTCATTTCTTTCAAGAATTGCACAGCCTATATAGTTGGAAGTTAATTGAATAGGCGCACCGGTTCATGCAGCGTTTATATGATATAATTGCAAGATTAAAGCAATAGAAAAAATGCAGAAGAAAACCACGTGAACAGAGAAGAAAATTTTCTTTTCGACGATTCATTTTCATCAGCTTTACAGTCGTAATTTATATATTTAACAAAGAATTCATAAGACGACAAATCAGACAGATACTGGAAAAGTTTGTCCCCAAAAACGTGTTACGTAATGTAAGGTGTAATCTAAAAGTGGAGACATTATACCGAAGTTGACATGATGTAACATATATGAGAAAATGAATAGTCATTATAATCGTCTAGAATGCACAAGAACTAATGGAAAAAAGATGAAGTGTTTTTATAAAATCCGTATGAAAACGCATTTATTAATAAACAGTATTATTATTTATTATTATTGTATCCTTTAATTCATAGAGGAACATAGGGCTTCAGCTGCAAGTCTCCATTGCGTTCGGTTCTCTGCCAGCTTTTTCACCCCGCTCAAAGTCTGCCCACATGCTTTCATCTCCTCTTCATATGACCTCCTCCAAGTCACCCTCGCACTGATGATCAACTCGCCACTCGCTTCTCTTTCGGGTTCCACTCGAGCGATGACCTGCCGTGTGATGTCACTTGATGATTTGTTTTCTCATGGTATGGCCAATACATCTCAATTTTTTCCTTCCTATTTTTTGCACAATTGGTTCCTCCTGGGTTGGTTCGCTCATTGCCAGAGATCCCTCCCTGTTTCTGATCTTTTCTGGCCGGCCATCTTATCTTGAGTAGTATTGAGCGAAGACAACTATTGATGAAGGTCTGTAGTTTGTTTGAGGTGCTCTTCATGACGCACTGGCCAAGTCTCTGATCCATGTAGTAGCAATGACTGAACTCACATTGGAGTTGAAAATCCGAAACTTATTTTTCATGATTCTGAGTGCTGTTGATGTCCACGCAGACTTGAGCGTGATGAAAGCTTCCCTTACTTTCCTGATCATTTCTTTGATATCCTCA